GCTCGTTGACCCATGAGTCGGCGCTCGTGTGATTCCACCGGGGCTCGCTGGGATTATCCCTCCAGGCCCGATGTCTGGGTCCCTCGACACCCTAATTTGTCTTTGCTGTTCAAGACAGGGTCCCCGAAGCCCCGAAGCTTTCCCCAGGGTGGGCCTGTCCTTTGGGAGTCCTGTTCTGACGGTGACGGGGCCCGAACACGGGCCCCCCAGGGGCCGAGACCAGGGTGCTGCTGTGATGGAAGCTCGTTCCGACCAGGGGAGGCGAACGCAGAGACATCCTCGAGCCAATTGTGTGGTGCGGGCCGTTTCGTTTCAGACTTCCTCACAACTCATCGCTCTGAGTGGGCAAGGATTGGGCGTTCCGCTTGAGACATCCTCGAACATCGGAGCTCCGAGATTCCGCGCGAGAGGTGGTCCAGCGCGTTTCGCCTGAGACATCCTCGCAATTCTCATCTCCGAGATGCCGTGCGTGAAGTGGTCCCGCGCGTTTCCGGCGTTTTTCGCGACAGACATCCCCGAAAATCGGAGCTCCGAGGTGCCGCGCGAGAGGTGGTCCAGCGCGTTTCGCTTGAGACATCTTCGCAATTCTTTGCTCTGAGATGCCGCGCGAGGGGCGGTCCGGTGCGTTTCGCCTCAGACGTCCTTGCAACTCTGTTATCGGAGATGCCGCGCGCGAGGTGGTCCAGGCCGTGTCGCGTGAGACATCCTCGCCATTCGGGGCTCCGAGATGCCGCGCGCGAGGTGGTGCAGTCCGTTGCGCCTGCGACAACCGAGATGCCGCGCGAGAGGTGGTCTGGCGCCTTCCGCCCGAGACATCCTCGCAATTCTGGGTACTGAGTTGTTGCGCGCGAGGTGGTCGGGCATCGCTTGAGACATCCTTGACGCTCTGGCACTCTTGAGATTTCAGAGGGAGGAGGGAGAACGGAGGAGGTGGCAGACCCGAACGAAGCATTCCTCTGTTGCCGAATGGTGCTCTGGGAGGGGTCAGCGCCGCCTGAGATGAGAGATCCTCGCAACTCTGAGCTCGCAGATGCCGCGCGCGAGGTGGTCCGGCTTGTTTCGCCTGAGACATCCTCACAATTGTTGTTTCCAGGTTGGCCGGGGTGGTCTGGCCCGCGTCGCTTGAGACCTCCTTCCAACTCTGAGCTATGCCACTCGCGAGGCGGTCTGGGCCGCTTCGCCCGAGATGCTGCGTGCGATCTGGTCCAGCCCGTTTTGTCCGATACGTGTCGTAGTCGAAGGCCCCCAACAGTCGAAAACCTCTCTCGACCCTTCTCCCGCCTCCCACACCCCGCCTCTCGCCTGCCTCCCGCCTCCTCCCGCCTCCCGCCTGCTGCGCCTCCGTCTCCGCCTCGCCGTCGCCGCCGCCGTCGATCCTGCCGCCTCGGCATCCGCCAGGCGCGCCCCGCCTGCTGCCCTCCCCAGACGTCCGGCGTCACGATTTCTGTTTCGAGACGTGGGCCCGCGGACCTTTCGATCTCATCCTGGGGACAGCTTCTTCTTGTAACTGGCTTCCCCGCACAGCTTGCTGAGCGGGCTGTTGATATGATCGGAAGCACAGTGAGCGGCTTGAATAAGAACGCGAACTCTTCAACAGGGGCTCGGTCGTTCCTTAGGTTTGCATGCGTTGTGTGTCGTGCCTTATGCGTTATGGATTACATTTCGTCCCTCATGCGTTGTTCCTTGAACAGAAGGGCGTCGTTCCTTCCTTATCTTTCCTTGGTCAGGCCGATGACTGCAGTTCCGGTCGAGGGGCGCGCGCCCAGAGACATCCTCGAGCAGTGCTGTTGGTCCAGGCCGTTCCGCCTGAGACTTCCCCACCGCTCTCGTGCCTGAGTTGGCCAGGAGTGGACGCTTCGCCTGGTGAGCTTTTGTTTTTTGTTCGGCGTCTCGACAGGCGGCCGGAAGTGGGCGAACGAGCACCACACACCCATACCCAGGAGGGAGGTCGGAGGGAGAAGGATTGGCTATGGGTATGGGTGTGGGTTCTCGGACCCCTGGGGAGGCTCCCGCTCGAGCGGGGACCCCCATCCGACGACACGCACCCATAGCTCATTCCGTCCCCCCGATGGGTATGGGTGCGTGTTGATCGTTCGTCAGTAGTGGGCGTTGCGCCTGAGACATCCTCGCAGCTGCGGGCGCCGAGATGCAAAGCGCGAGGTGGTCCAGCGCGTTCCGCCTGAGACATCCTCGCAACTGCGGGCGCCGAGATGCCGCGCGCGAGGTGGTCTGGCGCGTTGCGTCTGAGTCATCCTCGCAACACTGGGCGCCGAGATGCCGCGCGCGAGGTGGTCTGGCGCGTTGCGTCTGAGACATCCTCGCAGCTCTGGGCTCCGAGATGCCGCGCGCGAGGTGGTCCGGCACGTTCCGCCTGAAACATTCTTGCAACTCTGAGCTCCGCGCTGCCGCGCGAGGGGTGGTCTGGCCAGTTTTGCCTGAGACATCCTCTCAACTCTGAGTTTCGAGATGTTGCATGAGAGGTGGTCTGGCTCGCCTCGGGTAAACCATCCTCGCGACTCTGATCTCTGAGATGCCGCGCGCAGCACCCCCTCCATTCGGGTCGGACGAAATGGGGGCCAGGGAAAGGGGGGAGGGCGAAACCTGCTGCATGCAGCTGGCTGCAGCCTCGCCGCTTGGCAAGGCAAATCGATACACTGGCGCCTCCCGGCGCGGGGAAGACCGGCCACACGAGTTGCATTCGTTGTCCCCGCCTTGGCTGCCCCTTCTCGCCCGACTGGGTCTGTGCCCCCGATCCAGTGTTTGAAGGGCGTTGGTCGGTGGGGTGCAGGATGTCGGCTGGTCGAGCGATCGGCTAAAGGGGCCGCAGCCCGGGTGCGGGAGGCACGAATTCACCAAATACGTGCAGGATGTTGCTCACCAGCAGGGGTCGGCCACGCACAGAGGGGGCCGGGTGGAGGGGGGAAGGCTTCTTAGAAGGAGGCTGCTTCTGGGAAGGCGCGGCTTTGTCTGTAGATGCAAGGCCCGCGCCTTCTAAGAAGCTGCGACCTTCCAAGAGGCATTCCCCCCTCCCCCTACTTACCCCCGTGTGCGCCCGCCAGGAGGTGTCCAGGTATCGTTTCTGAGGGGAGGACGGCCCAGCCCCCCCCCCTTCTCAGGCCTCCACGCGCAAGGCGCCCGCGGGCGCTTCCCTCCGGGCCCCTGGACCCGCACGAGACGACACGTGGCGAAGACACTCTGCATCTTGCTTCTCATCCTCCCTCTCAGAATCCTCTTGGCTCCTCGCCCTCACCCTCGTTCTCCAACACCTCCTCCAGCTCCTCCTCCTCCTCCTCCTCCTCCTCCTCCTCCTCCTCCTCCTCCTCCTCCTCCTGCTGCTCCTGCTCCTGCTCCTGCTCCTGCTCCTCTTCCTTTTCCTTCCCCTGGAGGCGGAGGAGGAGGAGGAGGAGGAGGAGCAGGAGGAGGAGGAGGAGAAGGAGGAGCTGGAGGAAGAGGAGGTGAGCGGGAGGAGGAGGAGGAGGAGGAGGAGGAGGAGAAGGAGGAGGAGAAAGAGGAGGAAGAGGAGAAGGAGGAGGAGGAAGAGGATGCGGATGAGACCCTCGCCGCCGTCGTCGTCCTCCTCCTCCCTTCTCGCAGGTCGACTCGGCGACGGCCCACAGCGCCTCGGCGGTAGTCCCCGCCTGCTCCGGCGGCGGCCCGGACTGCGGCACCCCGGTCTCGACCGCGGACGTGTTGAGCGAGGAGCGTCGCGCCGCGGCCGGCCTCCTTGCGCCCGCTGCCAGCGGCCGAAGAGGGCCGCCGCCGAGAGCCGCCGACGAGGGCCGACGACGAGGGCCGACGAGGGCCGCCGACGAGGGCCGCCGAGAAGCGCCGCCGACGGGCGGCCGAGGGCCGCCGGAGGGGGCCGCCGACGCGGGCCGCCGAGGGCCGCCGACGAGGAGCCGCGCAGACCTCCTGGACCCCCTCGCGTCACGAAAAGATCGCAACGGGAGGTCTTTCGTTGTCTTTCGGCTTCTGGGCGCGCTCACCGGCCCTCGGGCCGTCAACACGCGACTCAGGATAAAAAACCAGTCCCGGGGAAAGGGTCGGGCCGCCAGACCCCCGACGTCGCGATTCTTGTCGCACCGCCGACCCCCAAAAGGTCTGGACCCTTCCCCTGGGGACCGGCTTTTCATCCTAAGCCGTGTTCTGACGGCCCCGAAGCCAGGGACGGGCTCCCGGAGGCCGACCATAGCGAAAAGCCTCCCGTCATCATTTTGTGCACCAGCGCGAGGGGGCCTGGGGCGATGGACAGGGATACGGACCTGGACCTGCACGGTGTCCCCCGGGGCCGTAGGCGACCCGAGGACGAGAGGGAGGATCACTGACCAAACTGCCAGGACAGCGAGCGGGCCACCATTGGGCAGTCCCTCGGGGCCGTTGGCCGCATTTGGGATTGCCAATGGGGAGCCCATTGCTTGGGGAGACCCCAACTCGCAGCCTGTTAGCGGGGGATGCTAACGAGGACCCGCCCTGGTTAGCAGCCCCACATCGAACGCCGGCTCGGGCTCCCGGCCCTCGGGCGGGGGAGAAGGAGGTAAGAGGAAAATCGCAAGGGGGGGCGAGCAGTGGGAGCCAGCGGGATGATGGTGAGGAGGAGGAGAGGTTAGACTCAAGATAGGCATGCGTCACGTGGCAGCCCTGTTTTGGCAGGACCTGACCATGCTTGGCGCATGACCTCTCCTCCCCTTTTTCCCCCTCCTTTCCCTCCCCCCTCTTCCACTCGGACGCCCAAACCCACATGACCTCTCGTGCTGCCAGCTCTGAATGCAGGCCCAGCCAGCGTTAAAACTGTTAAAGCAGTTTTCCATCTGATCGACCCAGAGGCGGGCATCGAGGAAAAAACCGGTCTTAAGTAACATTTCCTCGGCGCGCGCCTTGGGAAAAAGCCGGTCTAGAGTAACATTACCTTCACTGCCCTTGCTGTCGTGGTTTATTGTTTGATTTCGCCGAGGCCAGCGTTGCCCTACACACTTAAGGTAGGGCGACCCCCCCCCTCGCATAAAAGGCGCCCTTGTTGGGCTGTTTTCCTCCTCGGAGCGCTCAAAATCGGTGCCGGCGGAAGAAAAAATAAAAATGACAGGAGTGGCGGCCGTTAGGCTACCTTCTCTTGTCCCGCTGGATAAAGGCCGCCCTGCCCCCCCTCAAACGGGGGGTTGCACAGGTTATCAGTCTTCAAACAGAGTGCCCGCAGGATCGCGGCGGAGGGCGGCCTGTGGAGAAGTGGGCGGTGGGGTTGGGACTGGCTTGGGTGAGAGAGGGGATGCAGGTAAGGGGGCGCTGCGTTGGTGGCAAACCCGCCGCAAAAGGCCGAGGCATGATGGTGGGAGGGCGGCAAGCGAGTGGAGCTGAATGACAACGTGTGAGACATGGCGTACTTTAAACAACGCACGCGAATTCAGGAAACCCGATCATACCTTCGCGGCTGCTCTGCCAGTCCGCCGCCGGCGCGCCGGCCCATTCAGAGCCCGCGCTAGCCAGTGCTCTCCGCAGGGCTGCCTCCCGCAGCTCTTAAAAGACGGCGCACCTTGGATTGGAAGACGGCTTCTTCCGATGCCTGAGTCGGCTCAGGCTCGCGCGGTGCCTCGTTTACCTCCTGTGCCAGAGCTTGCTTCACCGCGCGGGGAGCCAACCGCTCCGACGAACATGTAGGCTCTGGGACAGGAGGCGGGGCAACAGCTCCAGCAGCGGGCAGCGGGGCGGGCGCAGGCGCTGGTCGCCCACTTGAGCTGGCGGCAATAGGAGCGCTGGTCTCAGCAGTGCCCGAGGCGAATAAAAAGTCAGCAGCTTCGCTGTCGGGAAGAAGCGGATCAATTTCAGCACCAGTGACTCCAAGATTGTGACTGTGCTCAGCGGCAATGGCAGAGCTCGCAGCAGCAGGCGGAAGGGCGGCGGCGGGAGAGGAAGGGGAGGAAGAGGGGGCCTGGATCGCCGGGGGCGCGAGCAGCGTGCTGAAGGGTATCAGATCGCCAAGAATCACCCCGTTCCCGCGCCGGTGATTAGGGGACTGCCCCTTGCACGCCCTATTCCAATTGGTTCCCGCTCGGCAAGAGCCTCGGGCAGGGAGGCATCTGTCCTCTAATTTGACCGCGCGCGCACCTTCCGAGTAGTTGCCACACGCTTTACAGATGATTAAAATCCCAGTAGGGTGCTCTGTCACGAAAAGGTTGTGGCCACGCTGGTCATGGAACAGGGAGCGGAGGATGGGCGAGGCCCCCGCGCATCCTTCGAGCGGCGGCGGGAGGGGCGGCCGGGGGGCGACATTGAAGCGGGGCACGGGCTCCGCTCGACTTCTGGTGCTGCGCCGCTGGCAATGGAGGCAGGTCCAATAACCTTGGCGCCGCCACCTCCACTCGTGATACTGCCCCGCGTCATCTGCCTCCAGCCCAGCCTGAGCTCGCATCGCTCGGGGCCGCGGTTTAGCCTGCGCCTGGGCTGGCGGAAGAGGAGGTGGTGTAGGAGGCGGGTGAGGCAGTGCATCTTTCGCCGAGCGCGCACTGGTTTGAAACCCTAGCTGGCGCAGTGACTTGTTGAATTTGGACCGGGCCTTCTTCGAAGGGGCCAGGCGCGGGCACAGAAGCAAGGCTCTGGCGACGTAGCCGAGGTACCTTTTTAAAACTGCCGCGCTATCTGTATATGCCCGTCTTTCCGCCTCCGACGGCTGCGAGAGCAGCGCGGCGCCGAGCTTTGCGTATTTGTCCGCAAAGTCGTTTCCCACCGCAAGGTGCCATTCGCGGGACTGTGGGGCAAGGGCCTCCAAGTCAGAGTGGGCCTGGACTTTGTGGATCTGAAAATTCGGGCCCCACGTCGCCGAAGCACGGATCTGTAGGCGGATGCCTGCGCACATGTGGTGCCTCGATGCGACCTGGCTCCACGGGGCAGAGGACAAGCGGACTAGGCCCAGAAAGTCGGAGTGAATGGCCTGTGCCTGTGGGCAGTGTTCGATGACGGCGAGAACCGCCACGTGCTCTGCGGCCGGGGAAGTCTGCGGGTAATGCGAGCCCACGGACCCCCAGAGGGCCGCAAACAGGTCGCCACCAGCTGTCAGTTTGATGACAGCCCAGCCCGCGATGTGGAATTCCGCGGGGCCGTCCTTCAGGCAAGAGCCATCTGTAAAAACTTCGCCGTCAAACGCCTCCCGCACTGTAAGGGAGGCGTCCGCGCAGAAAAAGCGGTAAGGCGTGGTGCCCGACCCACGCGGTGGATTCACGGAGAAGCCAGGGAGTTCGAAGAATCCGCAGACGAGCGGGGAATTCCTGCGCCCGTCGTTTATGAGCTCAACGTCTGTCTGCTCCAACCACTCCGCTCTGAGCGGGGCCGAAAGGGGGCAGCGGTGCAGGCGGCGCGATAAGCAATCGGTTGGGCTGCCGCAAGCACAGACCGAGGACGCCTCATAACCTGCCTGCTGCAACTTCCGCCCGGTCCAAACAGTCTGGCACAGAAAAGACTGCAGAATGCCGGCCTCTTGCTTTGAGAGGCTCCCACGGTGGAGGACCTGCCGGGCGACCGACAAATCTACGTTGGCTCCTGCCTCAAGACCTAGTTTCTGGCTAACGACGTGCAAATGGACACCCTGCCACGCTGCCTTCATTTTGCTCTCCAAGAATTTCGGGGAGAACATAGTGAGAGGCCAGTGCTCGCCTGCCCGGTCCACAAAGGCAAGCGCAGTGTGCATGCCCCACCCAATCCTACGGAGGGAGAGGATGGCAGCGGCGAGTGGACCACGCACGCTTCCCCAATCTTTCGGGGGTTGGGCCAGGATGGGGGCAGCGAGGGAAAGGAGGCGAGACATGGGGAAAGGGTTGTGTGCGGATCTATCTGCGTGGGCACGCCATGCAATCTTAGCCCAGAGTAGAGCCGGGGCCACCAGCCCTTGTCGCCACGTCGGGTCCTCCAGTAGGGCCAGCGAAATAGAGCGAGAACGGTTGTCGCCGCGGGAGCCGGCGATGGCCAGAAAGAAAGACTGCAACTGGCGCAGTTCAGCCTCATCGACCCCGGTGACTTCTACACCGTAGGTGCCGTAAGATTCCAGGCCTGTGGTAAACAATTTACGCATGTTAGTGCCGGCCCTCCGCAGAGCAGCTAAACGCCGCTTGCGCGACTTGAGCGTGCCCATGCGTTCTCGCAGTGCCGGGCGACACGACTTGCGGCATCTTAAACTGCCCACGGCGAGGTCGACACCTAAGTTCTTCGCAGCCGGGGCCACGCAGCCGGCGAGGGGGCCGAGCTCTCTTGCCAGCCTCTTGCGAAGTCCGTCGGAATTGGCCAAGGTGGTTGACTTGCGCGGAGCAATCGAGCAACCCAGGTCATCTTCAATCACCTTAACCAAAGACAAGGCACCTTCCATTATCTCGCGGACTACAACGTTCGAGTCGTCATCCGTAACACCGATGTGAAGGTCATCGATAAAAAGGGAGAGGGGGAGCCGAGGATGCTCGTCCTGCCAATCACTAAAAGGCTGATAAGTGTAGACTTGTACTAGGTAGGTGGCCCACGGGCACCCCGCCGCAATGCCACGGGCGGGGTACCCGGTGCTCACCGTCGCGCGCTCGTACGTCACGAAACGCTGGGCCTGGTATTGGTTTAGCACGACGCAGAGAACGCCTAAGGAAAAGTTAGCTGCCCGCGCCCTGTGCCACAGGCGCCTCCGATCCACATTTTCATAATAGTCGGACATGTCTTGCAACAGGGCGGCAGAGTGCGCGCATCTGCCCGCCGCCTTTGCCGACTCAGGTTCTGGGGCCTGCTGGAAGACAAGCTCCACGATGCTGCGACCTTCTGGTGGCAAAGGAAAGGTTGCGGGCGAGCTGCCTCCCATTCCTGCGCAATGAGCAGCCTGCACTTGGCCCACACCCTGTACAGGGCGGGTATCAAGGCAAAGCCCGGGAAAGCTGGGACCCCCGGCTGCTTCGACGCCGCTTTCTGAAGCAGCGTGGAGATTATCCTTAGGA